ACGCTCACAGCAACCTCCAACTCCTGGGCTCAAGCGAGTCTACTGCCTCAGCCTCCCAAGTAGCTGGGGCTACAGGCGCCCACCACAACGCCCGGCCATTTTTTGGTTGCAGCCATCATTGTTGTTTGGCAGGGCCGGGCTGGGGATTAGAACCCGCCACCTTAGTTGTATGTGGCTCGTGCCTTAGCCGCTTGAGCCACAGGCGCTGAGCCTTCTTTACACATATTAAAGTCATTTTTAATTCTGTGTCTGATAATCCCTTTATCATTATTTATAGAGCTTTTTCTACAGTTTGTTTCTGCTATCTTTTGTTAATGATGAGACAGTGTCTCACTATGTTGCCCAAGCTCCCCTGGAACCCCTGCGCTCAAACAATCTTCTTATCTCAGAGCAGCTGGGACTATAGGCCTGATTATGATGGCACCTCTCTTGGCAAGATGTATTTGCTTCTCCGCCAAATTTCTGAAAGCTAGATTGATTCTGTTAGCTTCATGTCATTTTCCAGGTAAGAGAACAGAAAAATGCTAGCAGTTTTATCAGGAAAGCAAACCTGCCCTCACTAATTCAGGGCAAATGTCAGCTTACATCTGTCTCCCAAATCACCACTGCATAACACGGTCAGCCCTAACTGCAATCTTGTAAGCCTCCATAGTTAAGGAAGATGAAAGTTCTGGAGATGAGTGGTGAATGAGTACTGGCATGCAACAGAGAAAGGCAAATGAGTTCTAAGTAATGGCTTTATGAGGTTGGTGGCAAAAGGCATGAAGGTTATAGAACTCTGTTTTGGAGAACCCAGACCTTATACTGCTCTGTTGCTTGTAGCTAATACAATGGGAACCCTCACTCTCAGAAAATGAGACTTGAGTACTGATGCCCTATGAATGCTCTCCAAATAAACCTAACTGTCTGCAGGCACAGAAAATGGGTTCTTGAGGGCAAGGCACTTAACTCACAGCAACCTCAAACTCTTGGGCTCAAGTGATTTTCTTGCCTCTGCCTCCCAAGTAGCTGGACTATAGGCACCTGCCACAACACCTGGTTAATTCTCTATCTTTAGTAGAGACAGGGTCTGGCTGTTGTTCTGGCTGGTCTTGAATTCCTGAGCTCAAGCAATCCAACTGCACTGGCCTCCCAGAGTGCTAAGATTACAGGTGTGGGCCACCTCACCCAGCCTAACTTTTTTTTTTGTAAAGACACCGAATTTCACTGTATTGCTCAGGTTATCTTGACCTCCTGGCCTCAAGCCATCCTCCTACCTCCTCCTCCTTCCAAAGTACTAAGATTATAGGTATCAGCCACAATGCTTGGCCCTCAACTCATTTCAGAGTAACAATCAGCCAATAAATTAGAAACAAAAGATTGAAGCTGACACAGGGAAAGAAAAAAATATTTAGGATTTATTTCAAGGCCTGAAAACATTCAGAATGGTACCACTGTAACTTACAATAACAACATAATATAAAACTTTGAAGAATGTAGACACAATTAACTAACCCCTAAATAACGCACTAATTCTCAAAAGCAAGTGCTATTTCAGAAAATGTAAGGAGGATAATAAAATAGCAAAATTTTTTCAGACACTGAAACAGAACATAATGAGCAGCCAATTAGTCAGACAAAACAAGTATTTTTACATTTTCCGTTTGTTTTTAATGTTGCTTCATAAAGCCACTGATAATTGAGGCTTCCTTCAAGTATAGGATTTCTAACAGTAAAAATTATATTTCAAGCATTCTTATAAAGAAATGAAAGCCACAGACTATCATTGTTTACCATAAATTCATACACCAAAAAGTAAAATACAACCAAACTGAATTTACACGCTTTCCTCTTCTCCAACAGCTTTAGATGTTTCTCTCTATACCTTATATTTTAATTAAAATTAGAACTAAGGCCAGGTGCTATGACTCACCTATAATCCTAGCACACTTGAGAGACCAAGGCCAGTGGACTGTTTGATCTCAGGAATTTAAGACACCATCTCTAAAAATAACTGGATGTTGTGGCGGGCACCTGTAGTCCCAGCTACTTGGGAGGCTGAGGCAAGAGGATCACTTGAATCCAAGAGTTGAAGGTTGCTATGAGCTATAATGCCTCGGCACTCCACTGAGGGTGACAAAGTAAGACTGTCCCAAAAAATAAAATAAAATTGGACCTAACTCATTTATATAGATAAAGGGGAAATTATTTATAATGAAGTATCTATAAAATTGCCTTCTATATACCCTTACCCCTCACCTCCCAACTATCTATTGCTTAAGTGACCAATACAATGTACTGTTTGAGGGGGCCAAAGTGATATGTAATCTTAAAATTCCTAAATATCCAAGCTTCCAACTTTCTATCAATATAGACAAAAAGACTAAAGTGGACAAAAATCATAATGGGAATAAAAATCCATATTATTTAACTAAAACTCTATACATATCTTTCTCTCAAGCTATAAGCACCCTTTAGACTAGCATTAAATTACATCATGCATACACAACTATGACAGTTTAGATTTGCCCTGGAACCTAAAAATAAGTTTCTATTTTACAGTTTTATTGGCTGTTAGTTTTACTAGGGGTAAGAGAATTTTGTGTTAAGAAACCAGTACATATAGGGCAGCACCTGTGGCTCAAAGGTGTAGGACGCTGGCCCCATATGCTGGAGGTGGTGGGTTCAAACCTGACCCCAGCCAAAAACTGCAAAAAGAAAAGAAACTGGTACATATAAACTAACAACTACATGTTCACATAAACCTTGAGGAAACCTAAGGATGAAGTTAGTTTGTTTTTAAAATTTTTTCAGAGATGGGGTCTTGCTATATTGCTGATCTCAAACTCCTGTCCTCAGGTGAGCCTCAGACCACAACCTCCTGAACACTTGGGATTACAGGTATGAGAGATTGTGCCTGACTTGTTTTTTGTCTAAAGATGCAACACATACATTCACATAACCACTGCTAACACAATGAAGGTACAAGATAGAATAGGCAGATGCAGTCTCTTTTAAATAGGATATTCTGGCTTTTAATTTTAAAAACTAATTCTTTTTTAAGGAGGGGGTCATATTGTTTTGCCCAAGCTGGCCTCAAACTCCTGGGCTCAAGAGATCCTTCTTTCCCAGCCTCCAAGCTGCTGGGACTACAGGCATGCACTAGTGTCCAGCACAGAAGGATATTCTAAAAGGAATAAACTGATGCTGATGATTGTTCAAAGGAAAAATTAGCCAAAGTCAAGAAAAATGCTGAGGCACAAAAATATCTACTCTTAAAAGGTGTTATCCATGGCTTGGTGCCCGTAGCACCTGTCACATATACGGAAGCTGCTGGGTTTAAAACTGGCCAAGGTCAGCTATGGCAACAATGACAACTGCAACACCACCACCAACAAAACAGCCAGGCACTGTGGCGGGCGCCTGTAGTCCCAGCTACTTGGGAGGCTGAGGCAAGAGAATCACTTAAGCCCAAGAGTTTAGAGGTTGCTGTGAGTTGTGATGCCATGGAACATAATGAAATGTGTCTCCAAAAAAAGTGTGATCCAACACAAAAAATGAGACCTATAGATTTAAAAAAAAACAAAACAAAACATTATTTTACTATCTTAATATACAAAAAAAATAATAATAATAAGGCAGAGGAAATCTAGACCACTTAGAATTGAGGCAGCTCTGTAGAAAAATTAAAATGGTACAATGATAACTTCAAAGAAAATGACCAAAATGAAATTTCACATTTATAATAAATTAATGCATAATAAATTAATGCATAAAATATCAAAAATATGAATTTTTCCCTTAAGTTTACAATAAACTATCAAACTTTTGTTTCACCTATTTACATTTTTTTTCTTAAGACACAGGCTTGCTCTTCACACCAGGCAGAGTGCAATAGCATCATCATAGCTCACAGCAACCTCAAAATCCTAGGCTCAAGTGATCCTCTTGCTTCAGCCTCCCTAGTAGCTAGGACTAAGTTCATGACACGGTTCCATGTCTGGCTAATTATTCTATTTTTAGTAAAGACAACGTCTTCCTTTTGCTCAGGCTGGTTTTGAATTTCTGAGCCTAAATGATCCTCCTGCCTCAGCCTTCCAGAGTACCAGGATTACAGGCATGAGCCACTGTGCCCAGCAAGTTCAATGTACTGTATTTACTTGTATAACCTTTCTCTGCTTAGCAGTATATGCTATACAAGTACACACATGCTGGTATTTTACTATGAAAATTACAGTTCTAATCTCAAACTAGTAGCTTGCCTTTTTATCCATACTTGTATCATCTACATTTCCATCATAAGACACTTAATACCTTTTCCATGGTACATTTTAATCAACATAGTACATAAAAAAAAATCTTGATTTTTAAATGAATCTTTGTAGTGCTATTACATGATGGGCTTAATTTAATAGGTGAAGCACAATATGCTAACTACATTGTACTGCTGAAACTAATGACAGTGGAAGGAAAAGGATTTTTAAAATACAACTAAGATGAGACACTGACAGTTATAAACAGTGAAATATTAGAAATCAGTGAATGAATAAGTAAGATGATATTTCATCAGTGGCCATTCATTATTTTGCCTTTAGGAACCCGGAAGAAACTGTCTTCTTTGAGTTTCAAGTGTTCTGGTAGATCTAATCGTTTCTTAGCTTCTTCAATATCACCTTGAATTGCTGAAATAAGTGACTCTGCAGAGACAATAAACCAGGTAAAGGTGATTAAAAAAAACTGCTAACATACTTCGTACTACTCCTTTGTTCCACCTTTCCTAAAAACTCACTGGCTGCCAATATTTTTGGGATAGGGTAGATGTCCAATTAATGTTTGTTTCATCCATTCTTCCAAGCTTAAATAAAAGTCAAAGGTACATGAAAGATCTCCCTAATATTATAACATTTTATAGAAAGTTACATGCAAAAAATGTACATTGTAAATATCAAATGGAAGAAACAAATATTCACTTTTCTTTTTTTTTTTGAAACAGAGTCTCAAGCTGTTGCCCCGGGTACAGTGCTATGGAGTCACAGCTCACAGCAACCTCAGACTCTTGGGCTTAAGCAATTCTCTTGCCTCAGCCTCCCAAATAGCTGGGACTACAGGTGCCTGCCACAACGCCCAGCTACTTTTTTGTTGTTGAAGTTGTCGTTGTTTTAGCAGGCCCAGGCTGGGTTCAAACCCACCAACCCCAGTGTATGTGGCTGGCGCCCTACTCACTGAACTACAGGCGCCACCCTATTCTTTAATAAAAGAAATTTTACCTGCAAAATATATCAAATAGTCCCTCACATGGTTATTATAGGGCATAAAAGGAATTAAATTCATGTAAGATGCTTAAAACAGTGCCTGGCAAATATTAAACGCTCTAATATCATCTCTCCTGCCATCTTTATCATCAGTGGTAGCAGCAGAAGTAAGGAGTTGTGGTTAGCAGCAGTAATATGTAAGATAACCAAAATGGGAACTTACCTAAAGAATCAAAGTTCTTTTCTGGTCTGAGGTAGCCAACAATAGCCACATTGAGAATTTCCCCATAGAAGTCTTCTTTAAAGGTGTGCATGATATGAGTTTCCTACAGCCAAGAAACGTTAAAAAGATTACCATCACATTAGAGAGTACCTGTAATGTGAAATATTATCTTCATGTTTATGGTGGGCTAACTTAATTCGCCCATCACTTCTCTTTCTACACACCCTTACATGTAAATGTAACTGAGTGAGGTAGTAGATATTATACCACAAATCTGGAATGATTTGCTGTTAATTTAAAAAAACCTGACATGTATTAAAGGAAGTAAGAGTCTCAGGAGGGAAAAAAAATTGGGTAAAGATAGAGAGATAGAGCAAGAATTAAATAAAAGATTTTACTACCTAACCAACTAGTTCTAATGTGGGTTGGGATCCACGTTGTCTGTCTCTGACACACAGAGTATGGGAACCTCTTAGAGTAAGGCAGAGCTCAGGACTGACCTGACTGCTATGGGGGCAGGAAGGCCATGCAGCTTCCAAAGAGTAAGTGATGTGACAAATGGGAACGAGGCATGTACAGCAAAATAGAGCAGGAGGGAGGAGATGCCCCAGTAATGTTTTTATTACCTGATTAGCTAATAAAGGTAAGATAGTCACAAGACAGTTTTCCCTCCCCTTTTCTTTCCTCATTCAACAGAAAAGTATTTGTAATTTATTTTTAAAAAGGGAATTTGAGGGCAGCGCCTGCGGCTCAGTGGGCAGGGCTCCGGCCCCATATACAGAGGGTAGCAGGTTCAAACCTGGCCCTGGCCAAACTGCAACAAAAAAATAGCCGGGCATTGTGGTAGGTGCCTGTAGTCCCAGCTACTCAGGAGGCTGAGGCAAGAGAATCGCCTAAGCCCAGGAGTTGGAGGTTGCTGTGAGCTGCGTGACGCAAACTACAGAGGGCAATAAAATGAGACGGTCTCTATAAAAAAAAAAAAAAAAGGGAACTTGAGGCTGGGCATGGTGGCTCATGCCTATAATCCTAGCACTCTGGGAGGCCAAAGCAGGTGAACTGCTTCAGCTCATGAGTTCAAGACCAGCCTGAACAAGAGCCAGATCCCATCTGTAAAAATAGCCGGGTGGTGTTGTGGTAGGCACCTGTAGTCCTAGCTACTTGGGAGGCTGAGGCAAGAGGATAGCTTGAGCCCAAGAGTTTGAAATTGCTGTGAGCTATGATGCCAGAACATCTGAGAACAATGAGGTGAGACTCTCTCAAAAAAAAAAAGAAAGGAATTTGTTGAGTTCTATATGCTACTTAAAGTTGGTATAAACTTCAATAGACTTTGATTTCAGGAAGCCAACAGTAGCCACAAAGAAAATATCTGTAGAAAATACATAAAAGGGGCCAGGCACTGTGGCCTATAATGATAGCACTCTGGGAGACCGAGATGGTTAGATTACTTAAACTCAAGAGTTCAAGACCAGGGTCAGTGCCTGTACCTCAGTGGCTAGAGCGCCAGCCACATACACTGGAGCCAGCAGGTTTAAATCCAACCCAGGCCTGCCAAACAACAATGACAACTACATCCAAAAAAAATAGCCGGGCTTTGTGGCAAGCACTTGTAGTCCCAGCTACTTGGGAGACTGAGGCAAGAGAATCGCTTAAGCCCAAGAGTTTGGAATTTGCTGTGAGCTGTGATACCACTGCATTCTACCCAGGAGGATAGCTTGAGACTGCCTCAAAAACAAAAGAAAAAAAAAAAAAAAAGAGTTCAAGACCAAGGCTGGGCACAGTGGCTCACACCTATAATCCCAGCAACTCTGGGAGGCAGGAGGGTGGATCACCCAAGCACACAAGTTTGAGACCAGCTTGAGCTACAGCGAAACCCTGTCTCTAAAGATAGCCAGGCGTTGTGATGGGGGTACCTGTAGTCTCAGCTACTTGCGAGGCTGATACAAGAGAATCACTTGAGCCCAAGAGTCTGAGGTTGCTGTAAGCTACAATGCCACAGATCTTTAATGGGGGCAACAAAGTTAGATTGTCTCAAAAAAAAAATAAAAAGTTCAAGACCAACCTGACCAAGAGCAAGACCCCATCTCTATTAAATATGGGGGAAAGAAAAATAAAACTAGCTGGGGCATTATGCCTGTAATACCAGCTACTGGAGAAGCTGAGGTAAGAGATCATTTGAGCCCAAGAGTCTGAGGTTGCTATGAGCTATCATACCACCAGTGAACTCTACCCAGGGCATCACAGTAAGACTTATCAAAAAAAAAAGAAAAAGAAAAAAAAGAAATGACACAGAAGGAAATGAGAAGGGAATTAAAGTAAGTGTCATTACAAAAATACCAACTAAATACAAAAGGCAGTAATGGAGGAAATGAGAGACATAGTTGTTATAAGGCACATAGAAAACAAATAGCAAACTAGCAGAAGTGCTTCTTTATCCATAACTGCTTTAAATGCAAATTGATTAAATGTTCCCATCAAAAGGCAGGGACTGGCAGAATGGATTTAAAAAGATAATTGGGCTCCATGCCTGTAGCACAGTGGTTACAGAGCCAGCCACATGCACCAAGGGTGGCAAATTCGAACCCTGGCCCGGGGCAGCTAAAACAATGACAACTGCAACAGAAAAATAGCTGGTCGTTGTGGCAGGCGCCTGACTTCCCAGCTACTTGAGAGGCTGAAGCAAGAGAACTGCTTAAGCCCAAGAGTTTGAGGTTGCTGTGAGCTACATAGTGAGGCTCCGTCTCAAAAAAAAAAAAAGAAAGAAAGAAGGAAAGAAAATTCAGGCCAGGCAAGGTCAAGGTGGCTCACGCCTATAATCCTAGAACTCTGGGATGTCAAGGTGGGTTGGGTGGAATGCTTAAGCTCAGCCTGAGCAAGTTTGAGACCAGCCTGAGCAAGAGCAAGATCTCATCTCTAAAAATAGCCAGATGTAAGTATGGTGGCTATAGTCCCAGCTACCCCGGAGGCTGAGGCAAGAGATCACTTGAGCCCAAGAGTTTGAGGTTGCTGTGAGCTATGACACCAAGGCACTGTACCCAGGGGGACAAAGTGAGACTGTCTCAAAAAAAAAAATATATATATTTTTTTTTTGGGGGGGGGGCAGCACCTGTGGCTCAGTGAGTAGGGTGCCAGCCCCATATACCGAGGGTGGGGGATTCAAACCCAGCCCTGGCCAAACTGCAACAAAAAAAAAGCCAGGTATTGTGGCGCGCACCTGTAGTCCCAGCTACTCAGGAGGCTGAGGCTGTGAGCTGTGATGCCACAGCACTCTACCAAGGAAGACAAAGTGAGACTCTGTCTGTAAAAAAAATAAATAATTTTGTTCATACATAAAATCCAATTACACATTGTCTATAAGAGACTAACTTTAGATCCAAAGACACAAGTAGGTCAAAAGTAAAAGGATAGCTATTCCATGTAAACAGTAAATAATAATTCATTTTTAAATCCTTCAAGTATGCTGCCAAAAATTTTAGTATTTGAATTATGTTGTGATTACCATTGTTTAACTCTATTTAGATAGTACTATCTAATACTATGTATTACTCTAAATCGTCATCCCACTGTCAGTTACAGTGCAATCCACAATACTTACCATGGACTTTTTTGTATTCTTGTAGTATGGGTTCCAGCCTATGCTCACCACCATCTTATGGACATCTCCACTTCCAACACTGGCCCACCCATAATAAATGCCAGTGGATACATCAGCTGGGAGATTATCTACTACTTGTTCAGGAAAGTTAGCTAAATAACAGAAGTAAATATTTTGAGTGTTAGGAATTTCATATTAAATATTTGTAACAATCATATGTAAGGTTAATCTAACCATTACATTCACAAGAATCCTAGGGCCTTGCATATAATTATCAATTTTATCCTTCCATTTTCTGGCTTGGATTTCTTTCTCCTCTTTGTGTGGATAAGTTAGGAAAGTTAGGAATAAAGGACAAGGTAAGTGCATAAAGCTCTCCAAAAAAACACTTCTAGGGTAGGGGGCGCAAGAGAGGGAAAAAAAAAAAAAGAAAACAGGTACAACTACAGATAAACGTTGTTAAGAACTGCTCTTTCCTAAGAAGGTTCCAAATCACATGAAAAAATTTTGACTTTTAAAGACTAAAAGTCAGTCCTGACATGTAAGGATGAATTAAACAGGTCTTGATCACTAAAACTAATGTTGACAAAAGCTGCTGGCTCTCATTCAAATACTTGAGTCGTCATACAGATATATATATACCACCTTAAGAATCAGCTTAAGAGAATTCAGCCAATCTGGCCCACGTTACGTCTCTAAAGGGCGAGCTGAGCGCCTTGCTCGGCCAACAAAATCTTAGCTTGACAAGGAAGCGTCAAAGAAAGATCTCGAGACTCATCTGCCCTCCGGCCATCACCATCCCTCAATTCCAGTCCTCCCTGAGGTTCCAGCTAGGGGCAGATACGAGAGCCTTCAACCAGACCAAAGGTCCGGCGGGTGGAGGCGAAAGAGGGGGCGTCACCCCTGCGAGCCGGCCCACAGACCCCAAGACCCGATCCCAAGTCCGGCAGCAAGACAACTCAGTCCCCGGCACGAAACCCGACCGAGGGCAACACCGGCCGCCCCGCTCTCACCTGTGGGGATGCCCAGCTGCTTGGAGCCCCGGCCGAAGCCCCGCACCACTTGGCCCCGGCAGAAATACGGCAGGTGCCTCATGACGCCGTCCGCCCAGGGCATGGGCTGCGGCCCGGTCCGCGAGTCCGGCGGAGCCGCCGTTGAGGCGGTGCCCGGACCCCGGACCAGCCGGGAGACTCCGGCGTGAGCGCTGCCGGCCGGCCGGGCGGGCGCACCAGGGCCCAGAAGGCGCCGATGACACGCCGCGGAGGGTCCCTCACGCCGCTGACCCAACAGAAGCCACGCAGGAACTCAGAGGCTGCGTCTCCGGCCGGCGAGCAGAGGCAACAGCAGAAGTAATTGCGGGTGTGGGCGGGGAATGGGCGGGGGGCGGCCCGACTGCGCCGAGGAACCAAACCTGCCCCGGGGCGACCGGTTGGCGCCCACACTTCCTCCGACGAACCGCCCGCGCCCGCTCGGCTTCCGTAGCCCCGCCCCGCCCCGCGTGGCTCCGCCCCCAGCCGCTGTCCGGAAGGCTGGCCTTCGGGCCGGTGTTCCTTTCCACCCCAGCGGCGAGTATTGTAGTGAAAAGGGGTTTTCAGCCTGAGAGCCGCAAAGCGCCGTTCCTGAGTAGTTCTCAAGGGTTTTTTTCCCCCATTCTCCTTTTCATAACGATTCTGATGTTGCCAAAGCGAGACGTTCTCTAGCTCCTTGGTAACCCCTGGGCAGATCTTCAGTTGCCAATTATTCCCTTAGGTTAAGCACTTTTTTTTTTTTTTTTTTTTTTGGCAAAATGTCACTCTGTTCCCCAGGCTAGAGTGCTGTGGCCTCAGGCTACAGAAACCTCAAACTCCTGCGTTCGAGTGATCTCCTGCCTCAGCCTCCACGATTAGGAGGAATACAGAAGTGAGCCACCACGCCCGGCCTTTACGCAGTTATTAAAGCTGTAAAATTCCAGCTCAAAGATCAAGTCTTTTTTTTTTTTCTACCATCGGTAGAGTGCTGTAGCGTCACAGCTCACAGCAACCTCCAGTTCTTGGGCTTAGGCGATTCTCTTGCCCCAGCCTCCCAAGTAGCTGGGACTACATGCGCCCACCACAACGCCCAGCTATTTTTTTTGTTGCTGTTTGCCCGGGGCCGGGTTCGAACCTGCCATCCTCGGTGTATAGGGCTGAGGGTGAGGGTGTATGGCTACCCACTGAGCCACAGACGCAGTCCAAAGATCAAGTCTTTATAGAGGTTTCTCCTGACCTCCCGGCAGGAAGAGGCCCTCCTCCCAAACCACTGAAGTTATATTAGAATGTGATAAGCTCCAGGGCAGCAGGTCCATCTGTAAGGGAACTTTTCTTTGACAAGGAAAGTGGATGTCTGCCGGCCTCCGCTCCTTAGTAGTCTTGGAAATGTAAGAAACCTAATGAAAGGCTTTACCTCTACTGCAATGCAAATAGAGGCCTCTGATTCTTAGAATGGTAAACACTTAACTTCAGAAAATATTTTGAGGGTTGAGGGTCACTGGCAAGATTTGCATGATGCAAGGTTATAACAAGGTGCATCCTCTTACCTCTCAAGGAGAAAGAACTTCACACCAGTGGTTCTCAACCTTCCTAATGTGGTAACCCTTTAATACAGTTTCTCGTGGTGTGGTCAATTCCAACCATAACATTATTTTCATTGCTACTTCATAACTGTAATTTTGCTACTGTCATGAATCGTAATGTAAATATCTGATATGCAGGATGGTCTTAGGCGACCTCTGTAAAAGGGTGGTTTGACCCCCAAAGGGGTCACAACCCACAGGTTAAGAACCACTGCTTTACACAGTCTCTTCTAGTTTTCTTTTTAATTTATGTTATTTTATCTTATTTTTGAGATGGAGTCTCACTTTGTTTTCCTGGGTAGAGTGCCACTGCATCATACTTCACAGCAACCCCAAACTCTGGCTCAAGTGATCCTCTTGACCCAGCTTCCCCAGTAACTGGACTTACACGCGCCTGCCAGAAGGCCAGCTATTTTTAGAAACCTGGTCTTGCTCTTGTTCAGGCTGGTCTCCAACTCCTGAGCTCAAGCAGTCCACCCACCTCAGCCTCCCAGAGTGCTAGGATTATAGGTTTGAGCCACCACATCTGGCCTCTTCTATTTTTCTTTATAAATTTGTACAAAATTTTATACAGACTGCAGTCATCTTTGCCTCTACTTGACATGTATTTAATTCTGCTAATGCCTGCTGATAAAGTTAGGTTCTCCCTGTATTGGTATAAAGAGGGCTTTGTTGGCAAAACTGTTTTGTTTGTTTGTTTGTTTTTTAAGACAGTCACTATGTTGCCCTCAGTAGAGTGCTGTAGCATCACAGCTCACAGCAACCTCTAGCTCTTGAGCTTAAGCGATTCTCTTGCCTCAGCCTCCCAAGTAGCAGGGACAACAGACGCCTGCCACAACACCTGGTTATTTGTTGTTGTTGTTGTTGTTGTTGTTATTGTCTCGAACCTGTAAGCTCAGGCAGTCCACCCACCTCAGCCTCCCCAGTGCTGGGATTACAGGCGTGAACCACTGCGCCCCACCCTTATTGTTGTAATTGTTGTTTTAGCGGGCCCTGGCCAGGTTCGAACCCGCCCTGGCTGGTGCCCTAACCATTGAGCTACGGGCATTTCCCGAACACTAACGTGGTACCTAGTCCATAGCAAATGCTCCATCAATATATGAAGAAAGAATAAATTAAAGAGCTCAGTAATGTGGCAAGCACAGTGTAAGGTTCTTGGGGAATACAGGTGACTAAGATGAAGTGCCCATTGTAGAGAGGGAGACAGGTAGACAGGTGTAGTAGGCCTGATAATAAGGCATACTGTAAATACGCCAATAGAAGTCATTACAAAGTGCTTTGAAGGCTGGAGATTGATTAGATTTTGTGGAAAAGCATTTTTATATGGTTTAGTGGTTAAGGGCACAATCACTAGAGATAGATAAACCAAAGTTTTTTATTTTATTTTATTTATTTATTTTTGAGACAGAGCCTCAAGCTGTCACCCTGGTTAGAGTGCTGCGGCATCACAGCTCACAGCAACCTCCAACTTCTGGGCTCAAGTGATTCTTCTGCCTCTGCCTCCCAATTTGCTGGGACTACAGGCGCCTGCCCCAATGCCTGGCTATTTTTTGGTTTCAGCCGTCATTGTTGTTTGGCAGGTCCGGGCTGAATTCAAACCTGCCAGCCCAGATGTATGTGGCTAGCACCTTAGCCACTCGAGCCACAGGCGCCGAGCCATAAACCAACGTTTAAATACAGGCCTTGTCTCATTTAATAGCTGGATGACTTTGGGCAAAGTACTTGACCTAAATCTCAATCTCCTTATCAATAATATGGGGATATTAGCCAGATGTTGTGGCAGGGCCTGTAGTCCCAGCTATTTGGGAGGCTCAGGCAGGAAGATCCCTTGACTCCAAGAATTTGAGGTTGCTATGAGCTAGGCTGATGCCATGGCAGTCAAGCATGGGCAACAGAGTAAGACTCTGTCTGAAAAATATAATAACATAAGAATATAATGATAATAAAGGGATTATTAATAGTATCATGGGAATTAAATGAGATAATGTATGAAAACAACAAATTGGCCAATAGTAACTTTTGGGTGGGACCTGAGAATTAAATTGACGTAAGATAGATCAATAACAGAAAAGCATGCAAATATACTTAATACAAGTTGTACATGGCACAGGACCCTTCATAAAGAAATGAAGACTGGCTC